GCAGTTAGTCCTATCTAACGAAGCTTTGCTCCACTGACTGCCAGTTATTTTTACGCATTAAGTAGTAATTTTGACTGCATTAAGTAGTAAATTTAATGAAGTAATATTTAAAGGCGAAATTCAGTAAACACCTTGTTGATTATGTATATTTTGTACAGGCAAGCAGATGAACCCAGAATATAAACACAATGTGCAAAGTTTCACATTAAATGGCTTCCCATAGAAAACCATTATAAGGAAAACACTGAACCATTAAGTGAATTGCGTTCATATTCCGGCCTCATCTGCTCGCATCATATGACCCCTTTAATATGGATTGCAAATGGCCAAAACTTGCATTTTGTTCACATACCTTTGTTTTATTCTTTTGAGAGGTGATCTAAATACTTGCGTCTGGGAATCAGATGGAAAGTTGAGAGGCTTGTGCTGCAGTTCTATGGATGTTTTACCCTCCAAGTCTTCGAGCCGGTCACGTGACTGAAAGCTATGAATGGGATATTACCATAGACTGTATAAAAACATGGACGTAGTGTCCGTGACGTCACCCGTAGGGTTTCGAAGAGCGTTTTTGAAGCTCAAAAGTGGGCGGAGCCGGCCGTCGCCATCTTGGCAGTGCGTCACCGCACGTCACTCCTGGATAATCGAAGATGGGCAAAGAGGCGGGAGCTGGTTGTTGAAACCACGCCCACCAAGCTCGACGGTGGTGACAGCAGCGGCAATCCACCTGTCACTCAAGTGGCCACGCCCTTAATTATGCAGAACTTTAAGGCTTAATATAATTTAAAAGGATGAGTTATAAAACAAATCACCCCCCTCACAGTTGTCATGAAGGGCAAAATTAGCTATATAGACCAAAATAATTTTTTGAACCAGGCTGTAAACATATTTTTTTCTTCTGTAAAGTTGGGCATTTTAACATGGGGAGTCTGTGGGATTGACTCCCGTTTGCAGCCAGCCTCTAGCGGCCAGTTGACGAATTACAGTTTAAGTCACTTCCTTGTTGGCTTCACAAGAGAGAGCGGGAGGTTGCCGCTTGGATATTACATTTCTTTTTAACCCTAGACTGAATGTCAGGTAAACATATCAAATACCACTGAGACAATCAAAGTCTACTTTTTATGTACTTCTCAGAAATGGGCTCTATGTACTTCTCAGAAATATACTTAAAATGACATTTAAGTATACTTGACTTGTAGCCTACTTAGAAAAAGTCTAAATATATTTGAACTATACTTGTGTTCCTAGAATCCGTGTTTTCATTGTTATACGGTAGAGGGAGCTAGTACACATCTTCTGTACAGAATTTTCAAAAAACACAAGTGAAGAAGAAACCGAAACAACAGATGCTTCCACGTGTAATCTAACACGATCATTAGACATAAAACAGCATCAAAACTGTGTAAAGTTGATGTAATGTCGACCAATCAAAAGGTAATAATGACTGTCAAGCTTTGGGGTGTTGATCGACTCTATCTACGATAATCTATTTTGATTATCGTTCTGAATCTAATTCATAGTCTTTTTTTCAGCTTTTTGTTCAAAATGTCAAAGAGGCGGGAGCTGGTTGTTGAAACCACGCCCACCAAGCTCGACGGTGGTGACAGCAGCGGCAATCCACCTGTCACTCAAGTGGCCACGCCCTTAATTATGCAGAACTTTAAGGCTTAATATAATTTAAAAGGATGAGTTATAAAACAAATCACCCCCCTCACAGTTGTCATGAAGGGCAAAATTAGCTATATAGACCAAAATAATTTTTTGAACCAGGCTGTAAACATATTTTTTTCTTCTGTAAAGTTGGGCATTTTAACATGGGGAGTCTGTGGGATTGACTCCCGTTTGCAGCCAGCCTCTAGCGGCCAGTTGACGAATTACAGTTTAAGTCACTTCCTTGTTGGCTTCACAAGAGAGAGCGGGAGGTTGCCGCTTGGATATTACATTTCTTTTTAACCCTAGACTGAATGTCAGGTAAACATATCAAATACCACTGAGACAATCAAAGTCTACTTTTTATGTACTTCTCAGAAATGGGCTCTATGTACTTCTCAGAAATATACTTAAAATGACATTTAAGTATACTTGACTTGTAGCCTACTTAGAAAAAGTCTAAATATATTTGAACTATACTTGTGTTCCTAGAATCCGTGTTTTCATTGTTATACGGTAGAGGGAGCTAGTACACATCTTCTGTACAGAATTTTCAAAAAACACAAGTGAAGAAGAAACCGAAACAACAGATGCTTCCACGTGTAATCTAACACGATCATTAGACATAAAACAGCATCAAAACTGTGTAAAGTTGATGTAATGTCGACCAATCAAAAGGTAATAATGACTGTCAAGCTTTGGGGTGTTGATCGACTCTATCTACGATAATCTATTTTGATTATCGTTCTGAATCTAATTCATAGTCTTTTTTTCAGCTTTTTGTTCAAAATGTTGTTTATTTCTTTATTTTTTTATTTATGAAACTTATTCACATTCAGGTGTTCAAAAAAAGAATGCATGAAGCTAAAATAAAATGTTTTTGTTTACAAGCAGATACCCTGTTCTTTCTTTGGTGTTTTGTATGTTCAGATATTTACAGTATATAAAATATATACACATTAATACCTAAATAGGGACATAGTAGTATATAGTATGATGTAAAGTTCACTTAAAGAAAACTTACGAGTATACTTGCAGTATAAAACTACTAAACTAGTAGTTTACTAAGACTATACTTCAAAGTGTACTAAAAATGCTACTACAAGTATTTAGAAAACTATCAGTATTCATATAAATTCACTTTTAGTATAGTTGCAGTACAAGCTAAAAATAGTGTTGTAAACTAGTTGTGTACTTAAAGTTTACTACTATATTATATTTAAAGTATACTAAAAAGTATACTTTTATATACTAGAAAGTGGGCCAATTTAGTCCCAAGGAGTATTGAAATAGTACACTACTAAGTATACTACTAGTAAACTGATATTTGTATACTTGCTACATAAAGTATACTTAAAAATATACTTGAACTTTACTTAAGTATACTTAATAAAATAAACTTGAAGTATACTACTTTATGGTAAGGGTAATTGAGGGTGATAATAAATATAAATAGCCTACTTTTTACATGTTTTTAGCCTTTGTTTAATCATTACAGTTACAGTTGAAAATTGTGATATTTATTTTTAAGATTTTGTTTAAGATATTGTATTATATGTCTGCTACTCTCAGTCTCCCGGTCTTGAATCCTGATCATAGTGGCCATTTTGAAGAGCGACACAAACTTGAGATGTGTTGCTGTAAACAGTAGGTAACGGAAGCTTGTAACGTGTGCTCAACTTCCCACAAGGATGTGTCCTGCTTAAGTTCTCACTGGACCAGCTGCATGTAGAGCGACACAGAAGGTGAGGAAAATTCTGACTCATTTGATATCAGATGTGAATACCATGAACCTGAATATTACGTGGTGCAAAATAAATCTGATAATATTTTTATTTGTTCAGAGTTTTCCATGCCTGGTCTTTTTTTTTTTTTTTTAAACAAATATTGGAGTGTGATATTTCAGTTTTTCTTTTTTAATACATCTGCAAAAATGTCAACAATTCTGTGTTTTTCTGTCAATATGGTGTGCTGTGTGTACATTAATGAGGAAAAAAATTAACTTAAATGATTTTAGCAAATGGCTGCAATATAACAAAGAGTGAAAAATTTAAGGGGGTCTGAATACTTTCCGTACCCACTGTATACTTCATAGATTTCTGCACCATCACATGGCAGTGGAAATATGAGCCGCTAAATCACATGACAAATGCTGATATATTGTATGACCAGATATAACCTACAGTGGGGCAAAAAAGTATTTAGTCAGCCACCAATTGTGCAAGTTCTCCCACTTAAAAAGATGAGAGAGGCCTGTAATTTTCATCATAGGTATACCTCAACTATGAGAGACAAAATGAGGGAAAAAAATCCAGAAAATCACATTGTAGGAATTTTAAAGAATTAATTGGTAAATTCCTCGGTAAAACAAGTATTTGGACACCTACAAACAAGCAAGATTTCTGGCTCTCACAGACCTGTAACTTCTTCTTTAAGAGGCTCCTCTGTCCTCCACTCGTTACCTGTATTAATGGCATCTGTTTGAACTTGTTATCAGTATAAAAGACACCTGTCCACAACCTCAAACAGTCACACTCCAAACTCCACCATGGCCAAGACCAAAGAGCTGTCAAAGAAAATTATAATTTGCAAATAAATTCTTTAAAAATCCTACAATGTGATTTTCTGGATTTTTTTTTCTCATTTTGTCTCTCATAGTTGAGGTATACCTATGATGAAAATTACAGGCCTCTCTCATCTTTTTAAGTGGGAGAACTTGCACAATTGGTGGCTGACTAAATACTTTTTTCCCCCACTGTATGTGTTGTATTCTCTAAATTCTCTCATTCCAATATCATATTATTGCTGTAGTTTTAGCACCTTTCTGTGAAGCTCTGCTCTTCTGTGTGGATGATTGTTGCAAATAAAGTATGCAATTTCCTACAATATCTGTCTGGATATATCTAAATTGTTTCATTATTATATTAAAAACAATTTAAGTTTGCCAAAACCATTGTTTGATGTTTCTTGTAAACTCACAATTACATTATCTTTGTCATTCATCTACATTTTCTTTCATAAAGTTTGCATGTATAGCCTACCTTTTGCAATATACATACTTGGTTATACTTTTTTTTTTTTAAATAAAATATAAAAATTAATTTAATATTGATAGCATTAATTTAGTGATCAAGTGTAACACCCTTATGGAAACATGACAATATTTTGTAATTATCATTTAAATCTGACTAATTGTCAAAATGTTTGTCATAAATCAACATCTCAGGAAAATTCTATATATATATATATATATATATATATTCCACTGTCTCTCTCCAACATAAAATACAGAACTTACAAAAGCATGTTTTAAAAGCAACCAAATGCACTAGATGGCATAAAAAAGACTGGACTCAGTGTTCAAACTGTTGCATCATTATCTTGCGACTGACTTCATAGGCTAAAAAGAGAGCTCCATTGGCAGGAAATGTTCGGATCATAGTAGGGGTCAAACCGGAATACAGTGGCGCCACTCCTGCAAACAAGATGGCAGAATATATCAGACAATGCAATAGATTTTGTACAACAGGTTTTTCAGCAAAGTGTTGATCATGTTGATAATTTAAAAGGCCTTAAATTATCAGCTTTGTCTGTATCGGGTACAGTAGGCTTAACTCTACAGTAGGGTTAAATCAGAAAGACAATTTTCTGCGATATAAAAAAAAAAAGATAATTAAAAAACGTTAATTTTACCTAATTATTCAACATGCATGGGCTGATATTCCAAAGAAAAACAAACATTTTAGTTAACATTTCATTTTAATATTCAGCTATCAACTGTATCAGTACAGTACGACATGAGGACACCAATATAGGACATAATGGGAATTGCCACTGTTCCCTGAGAAAGGAGTTTCATTTTATAAAACGGAATATGATTTTTATATGATAAAACAAAATGATTTCTTTTGTATTGCAGTGCTGTAAGAACCCCCCCCCCCCCTTTTCCACTTTAAATTTTATGCAAGCCTGTAAAATTACTAACAATATCTGTAAGATTAACAACTTGGCTGTTATTTTAAGTATATCATTAACCATACATTACAGTAATTATTATTGTTGTTTTTTTTTACAGAGAAATACTCCATTATTTATAGAGTATTTTTCTGTTTTCTTAAATTACATAGAAATGTATGTTATGTCAAATGCAAAAGTAATGGCAAAAGTAATTTGTGAAATCACCACCAGATGGTGCAAATCAACAGATTTGTCTTCACTATTGCTCACACTTTGCAAAAAAAACAAAAAACGATCAAATTGCTGGCAGCAATGGCTGCCAAAACCCATAAAATTAAAGTAAAATATTCCAATTTAAATAAAGTGCAAAAACTTTTACAGAAATTTGCATGAAACGTTTTAACAGAAAAACATATGTTGGAAAGACAAGGGTCCAGAGCCCAACTAAAGCAGACATAGATCTCCATCATGATAACATCAAACTTTATTATTTTCAATAATACTTCAATATCTAATTAATTCTCAATGAGAACATCGGTATGAAAGAAGTAAAGTCGATCTAGTAATAAGTGAATCTGTGATGTTTAATCATCCTCTGCTGAGATCTTGAGGGATCTTTTGTTAGGATATAAAGAGTTTCTGTAGAGTTTTGTGGATTATCCTTGTGCTGTAGAGAAGAGCCTGCGCTTTAGTCCATGATGGACCAAAAAAAAAAAAATTTAATTAAAAATGGCTGTTTTGCTGCAGCATGACATTTCAAAATGTCTCACTTTCAACATTTGATATGTTATCTATATTCTATTGTGAATAAAATATAAGTTTATGAGATTTGTAAATTATTCCATTCCTTTTTTACTCACAATTTGTACAGTGTCCCAACTTTTTTGGAATTGGGTTTGTATATTTAAAAGCAATAACTGTGTAGTCACTAGCACAGTGATGATTTACATCAGCTCATGCATGTGTGTTGTTGCATTTTACAATAAAGTAGTACAATGAAATAATAATTCAGGTACCTGTAAATTAACAGTGATTTCCTGTTAAAGTATTTAATGAAAATTGCAGTACAAATTTTTTCACTTTATTTGAATTAGGATATTTTACCTTAATTTTATGGTTTTTGTTTGGCTGCCAGTCATTCAGGTATTTGATCGTAATATTACAGGAAACAACTGTATTTTTTATTTATTTTTTGCAGTGTACTTTTTTAGCAAGAAAAAATATATATTTTAGCATAATAAAAACATGCCTCTGTGGTATGCGTGTCTTTTTACTGTGAATTACATTAAAATCTATTGAAATTCCATCTTACTTTCTGGCTAAATATCAGCACCTAATTTCAAACTCATATGCACACTTTATTATTTAGATTTCTTTCTATATATTTTTTTCTAAATAAATTAAGCTTTATGTATTATGTCACATATCAGACATCAAAGATATCACATCACAATCTCCTGAAAATGACCCATCTCCTGTATTAAAGTTTAAACCTGCAATGATCAAGGAACTTAATTGTCAAATGTAAAAATATTTATTGTTTGTCTTTTGAAAGTTGCATTCAAAATTCTCAGAAACAGATTTATATTAAAAAAAAAAAAAAAAAAAAGAATTCTCAGAAACCTGAGGAGGCACATGCCCCTCGGTTTGCATGGGCATTATGCCTCTGATTAAAAATGCATTTCATAATGTATATTTCATTCAATACTTAAAAGATATTAGCAAAAAGTGATTATTTTACTCAATACTGGTGTACTGTGCAGTTTTGGGCTTATCAGAGTATCATGCTATTAGCCTAGGTAATGGTAAACTGTATTTAAACAAGTTGTGTTTCCTGTGTCGAGAATTTATCCATCACTTCTGAGGTTCCATGACGGACAGGATGCTACATACAGTATGCGTCACTAGGTTTTGAAACAAAGATAAATACTGAAATCTCACCCTCATTTCGTAAAATCCCCATAAGAGTCTTGAGGAAGCCTTCCTGTTTCCCAGCTAAAGACAGAACCTGGATGCGAGACTTCACACAGTCTATGGGGTACACAACCAACCACAGACAGGCACCACCAAAACCACCACTGAACATCAAGGGCACAACACCTGTCAGAAACACGGACACAGAGGAGAATTGAAGAATCATCCAAGCTGTTCTGTTCCACAGAGGAATGAAATTAATGAAAAAGCAGCTTGAACACCCTTACGAAAAAGAAGTTTATTCAAGTGTGCTATTAGTATACTTCTTTTAAACTAAAAATAGGAAAGTATACTTTTAGTCTACTTTTTATGTACTTCTCAGAAATGGGCTTTATGTACTTCTCAGAAATATACTTAAAATTACATTTAAGTATACTTGACTTATACTTAGAAAAAGTCTAAATATGTTTTAGCTATAATTGTGCTCCTAGAATCCGTGTTTTCTTTGTTATACTGTAGGGCGCGCTAGTACACATCTTCTGTACAGAATTTCCAAAAAACTCAAGTGAAGAAGAAACCGAAACGACAGATGCTTCCACATGTAGTCTAACAGGAACATCAGACATAAAACAGCATCAAAACTGTGTAACATTATGAAATAAAATGTCGACCAATAAAGAGGTAATAATAACTGTCAAGCTTTGGGGTGTTGATCGACATTATCTACGTTTTGATTATCATTCTGAATCCAATTCATAGTCTTTTTTCAGCTTTTTGTTCAAAATGTTGTTTATTTCTTTATTTTTTATTTATGAAACTTATCCACATTCAAGTGTTTAAAAAAAGAGTGCATGAAGCTAGAATACAATGTTTTTGTTTACAAGCAGATACCCTGTTCTTTTGGTGTTTTGTGTGTTCAGATATTCATGTAACAAAATATATACAAATTCATTCCTAAATAGGGACAGAGTAGTATACTTAAAGTATGATGTAAAGTTCACTTAAAGAAAACTTACGAGTATACTTGCAGTATAAAACTACTAAACTAGTAGTTTACTGAGACTATACTTCAAAGTGTACTAAAAATGCTACTACAAGTATTTAATTAGTAAACTATCAGTATACCTATAAGTTCACTTTTAGTATAGTTGCAGTACAAACTAAACATTTAGATGTAAACTAGTTGTGTACTCAAAGTTTACTACTGTTATACTTAAAGTATACTTAAAAGTATACTTTTATATACTAGAAAGTGGGCCAATTTAGTCCCAAGGAGTATTGAAATAGTACACTTACAAGTATACTACTAGTACACTGATATTTGTATAATTACTACATAAAGAATACTTAAAAATATACTTGAACTTTACTTAAGTATACTTACTAAAATAAACTTGAAGTATACTACTTTTTGGTAAGGGCATTCTTCAAATATTTTTTTTTGCAATGACATGAGTATATTGTGCCAGTAAGTGGCCTTCTCATGGACTGACCTATGTGCTCTTTGTCTCTGCCCATGTGTTGGGCAAACATTGAGCGGCTGAGTTCATATCCTCCAAAGAAGCAGAAGTATCCAGGTACCTCACGGACTATAGTGGTGGTGAGACCCTGATAGAAACCCAGAGGTCCGTTTGTCCGTAACACATTTTTCACAACAGACCACACCGTGCTGAAAGAGAGAAGGGAATTTCAGCAAGATCCAAACTACTGGAAAACTATGATTTTGACGTCATATTTGTCCAAGTTCAATGGAATTATAGACACTCTGAACTTAAGAACAGTAGATGGCTTCAACCAAAATTAGCCCCTCAAGAGGTCAATTTGCACAAAAATTAACATTCTGTCATCATTTATGCACACTCATATCATTCCTAACCTGTATGTGGAACAACAAACAAATCAATAAAAAGTTTGAGAAATGTTTCAGTGGGCTTTTTTGTCTTCTGAATACCACATGAAACAATGCAAACAAGTTTGGTAACCACATGAGGGTAAGTAAATGATGACGGGTGTAAAATAAAAAAATAAAAAAAAAAAAAGGCCAACAATTCACAAAAAATGTTTTTTTTATTGGTCTTATGAAGTATTCTAATTTGTTGAGATAGTGAATTGGTGGGTTTTTGTTAAATGTGAGCCAAAATCATCACAATTAAAAGAACCAAAGACTTAAACTACTTCAGTCTGTGTGCACTGAATTGATTTAATACACAAGTTTCACAATTTGAGTTGAATAACTGAAATAATTGAACTTTTCTACGGCATTCTAATTTATTGAGATGCACCTGTATATATATATATATATATATATATATATATATATATACACACACACAAATATAACTCGAATAACAAATATATATTTTAAAAAACCATAACCAGACCTTTTCTGTCCACTGGCGATCTTGCCGGACGCCTCCATTTCATGCATGGCCTGCAGCCGACATTTAACCAATTCAGTGGGGCATAAAGACAGAGAGGAGAAGACAGAAGCGACAGAGCCTGAGCAGGCCTTCTGAACATCACTGAAACACACAATACATCTAATAATCACACACACTGCTGAACTTCAGGAGAGGTCACACTGCCACTGTTATTATAGTTCATGAATCATTTCATGCTGAATCAAATGTAATATGACTGACTACATATGAATCAAGATATAACACCATTTCTGAGTCAACAGTAACACCAAACAAATAACACTGGAGAAAATGAAATTTAACACTGCATCATAAAATAAATTGAAGATTAATAACTTAATTATGACCATTATAAATTAGTGGACAAATTGTAAAGATGTAACATAAATAATTTTTAATAAATTGAACATTTTGGTCACACTTTTTTCACACATTTTTGTTCACAATAGAAATACAGGAATGAAATAAAGTTCTTCAACAGAAACCAAACTGGACATAACAGTATCCCCCTCACCAAACGCCTGGAAGAGCCGGAGGAATGGAAATCCACAGTTGAGATTGAGGAATTGCTGACCATGAAAGAGCCGGGGAATTGGAAGCCCGAGGCGGAGGTGTCTGGGCCTGAGGGTTGGGCCTTTTCGGATTCCACAACTCCAAAGACCATGGTGGATCAGGAGACTGTGATTGTACTGGTGGAGCCAGCTGAGAAGAACCGGAGGAGCAAGAGGACCATTGGCAGAGTCAAAGAAGGATGACCAGTGGCCCCGGACAAAACCATCAAGGCTATGATGCAGGGCAGTGGAAGAGGAAGGGTAAAAAAAAAAATGGACAGAACAGAATGGACAGTCACTAGAGCTGGATGGGACCAGCAGAGGAGGAAGTGTTTTAGGGGTGGGACTTAAACCCAGTAGGTCAATAAACTCTGGCTCCTGGACAGATTGGGTGGCAGGTGCTGGCTCTGAGATGGACTGGGTGAAAGGCGCTGGCTCTAGAACAGACTAGGCTGAGGGTCCATGGTGACCGTGGCCACAGGCTAGGGCCAGGTGGCGAGCATGGTGATTGCCTGGGGTCCATGGCAGGTGTGATGAATGGCTGGGAGGGGCTCAGGGAGAATATCCAGTGTCCGGGGAGTCACAGGGGGATTGTGATCCTCATCCACCTCGCCAACGGTGAATGGGGATTCGCTTAACTGTTGAGACCAGGATTTAAGTGCAGCTCTTTATTTAAACAAGAAGGCAATTCCGGATGAGGAATAATCCAAAAGGTACACATCAGTGAAACAGCTTTGCAATAACACAAAGACAATGACTCACAATCACTTAGGGGTATAAATACATAGGAACAAAACAAACTTCAGAATAAAGTTCTCTGAACAGAAACCAAAACAGACATGACAAACAAAAAGTTTGTATTTTTTGAAATACCTTTTATAGAATATATAAAATATCATGGTTTATAAATATCCCATGGTGAGTACCAAGCTAACCTTTTTTAAAGTACCATAGTATTTCCATTTGATCTCATTATTGGGATCCATTAATATTATGATGTTTTACACAGTATTTTAAGAGGTGACATGTATTGACTATAAACATCTAATGTTTATCCAATAAAGAAAGGTGCTCTGAACACGCAGGCCATGGGTCACATGACATAGCGTCTGTCCTAGAGGATTGAATTGCATCATTGCATATCAGAAATACACACCATATACAGTATATAATATTAACAGCCCATGTGTTTAACAGAGCATGATTTGGTGTCATACTGTATCTTTACAGTTTCTCCAGCATGTGGACAAGCACTAAGAAATAAGGACCAAAATGTTTTTTAGGACATGGTATTATGGTAACATAATTTGGTTTTCCATTAATGTTAATGTACAACCCTATCCCATGTAAATACAATAGTACATGAATATGTTACTCAATAATATAGGAGTGTTTCTTACATTTTTGAAGAAAAAAAACCTCTTTACCTCTAAAACCTTTGTTCAAGATTTTGGAGTGTTTCTGTGATCAGTTTTGTCCGTTCATCTATTAGATCATTTGTGGGGTCAGGCATTGATGTTGGACGAGACGACTGTCTTGCAATCTCCGTTCCAGTTCATTCCAAACATATTCGACGGGGTTGAGATCAGGGTTCACACTGAACTCATCCAACCATGACTTAATGGGCCTTACTTTGTGCACTGGGGCACAAACATGCTGTAATAGAAAAGAGCCTTCCCCCAACTATTCCCACAAATTTGGAAGCATAGCATTCTCCAAAATGTCTAAGTAGAGTGATGCATTAAGATTTTCCTTCACTTGAAATAAGGAGCCTAGCCCAACCTTTAAAAAAAAAACAGTCACATACTACTGTCCTTCCTCCATCAAACTTTACAGTTGGCACAATGCAGTCAGGCAGGTGACATTCTCCTGGTATCCGCCAAACAGAGAAGCGTGATTGTCACAGAACATGTTTTCACTGCTCCCGAATCCAGTGGTGGCGTGCTTTACAACTCCAGCTGATGCTTGCCATTACTTGGTGATATGAGGCTTTCATTCAGCTGTTTGGCCATTCCATGAAGCTCCCGCTGCACAGTTTTTATGCTGATATTAATGCCAGTGGAGATTTGGAACTCTTCAGCTATGGAATCAGTAAAGCATTGCTGACCTTTATGCACCATTCGCCTCAGCACTCGGTAAACCCCGCTCTGTGACTTTACATGGTCTTCCGCTTCGTGGGTAAGTTGCTGCTGTTCCTATACACTTCCACTTTAGAATAATATCATTTACAGCTGACCATGGGATGAAATTTTAAGAACTGATTTACTGAAAAAGTGGCATCCAAACACAATACTCTTCAGAATATTTTTTCACAAAAGTTTGTTAATGCAGACTGTATCTAGGTGCACACCAGTGGCAATGTGTCTGACTGAAACACTTTAATTCAGTAGGCTAATTAAGAGGTGTGTCCCAATTATTTTGTCCATATAGTGTATATACAGTATTATCAGTTTACCAGTTATTTAATTTATATATATTCTTTATTTGTTATTTGATAAGGCAACATAAAAAATTTTATATTTACATTTTATTTTTATTTTGGGGGCCTTTGAGTCCCAAAGGCTTAGACTCACTGCTCTACACTTATGACACTGTCTTCTTGGTAAAGAAGTTAAAAAAAAAAAAAAAAAAAAACCTTTACTGGGGCAAAAGTTTGGTGTGGTGGAATTTCTACCACAAATTTGTCCCAAAAATTATTACATAAATCTTTTTGACACAAAAAAAAAAATAGACATAGGTTGTTTATTTGTTTAGATGTTCATATTTGTTATAATTCATTAGTTGTTATAATGATAATTATAACAACTAATAATTCATTTTTATGATAGATTTTCATAGTTTTAGTGCTTAGTTTAATGTTCAATGGTAGAATGGTATGTCTTATTCTTATTTGTGGCACTTTACTGTAATGGTACCTCACCTGAGTTCTGTGCATCGGTCCAGTCCTGAAACAAAGCGGACAACATTCTGGCAGAAGCCGTAGCTCATGAAGAGCACAGCGTTTTCAGCAATGTTGGCTATGAGGGCAGGCGTGGTGCCCTGATAGAGCCCTCGCAGTCCAACCCGTTTATAGACTGAGGCAAAGCAGTGGACAAAGCCTCTGTACAAGCCGGGGAAAGTCTGCATCTTCACCTTGGCTGTATCAAAGGGCTGCCCACTTAACACACATGCAATCCCACCTTAAAAAGACAGAAGAGAGGAAGCAGTGCAGAACATGCCTGTATGTTTTTAAATAACTGATAACTTTCTTGTTTCTTACTGTAACATAATTCCCATCATAATGCAAAATGTATGCAAATCAGGCAGGTGGAAAACACAGTGCGACGTATTTAAGCCCCACATATATTACAGTTGTTAATGTAGACACAGGAAATGAATAATACAAGGCTGTTACCACATGCTCCTGCTGACAGATCAATGATGGCTTGAGTGGCAGGATGTGGAGCCATACTTAACTTCAATATTGCATCACTTCCTGTAAAATGCAGGACAAAAGAATTTTACTCAGATTCACCCAGATTAACTCGGATTTACCATAGTATACACATGTAGAATTGACAGGATCAACAGAATACTTCATAAGGCAGCAAACAAGAAGAACAACAACAGATCAAAACACAGAACATTCACAGAGAAAGCATTGCCATTGTTTTTCTATGCAAACTTGTGACGGATTGACGTCTTTAGATTGCGTCTTTTATAACCGCACATAAAACAGGTCTAGAAGTATCTCTAGGGATCCTCAAATCTGGCCAACGAGATCCACTTTTCTGCAGAGTTTAGCTCTAACCCTAATCAAAAACACCTGAGCATGCTAATCATTCATGTCTTTAGGATAATTAGACTTTATCTGAAAACTGTCGATTTTTGAAGGCAGCATATATGTATCCTTCGCTGCCTTTGATATCCCACAATCCTGTGCATTCCATCCGTGATGGTTGAACTAAAAAAAAGATGGCATCTGAAAGTTGCATTTTGTGGTCAGTTTGTGTGTAAATGACAAAATGTTTGCACTTTTAATGTTATTTCTAGTGAGAAATCAGCATTATTTATAACAATTCAATATTTGTTTAGTTATCACAAAAACAAATTTCTATTTTGTTGTAGATCATTGAACCGTTATGCTGCTTCAGAAGCCTGTACAAAATCAGTTTCATGAGGTGCCTCCGTGCATAAACGCTGCCTGCTCTAGACCTTGTGGTTGCTAGAAGTTGATATGTTTATATCCATATTATATCAATAACATATAAAAAAGTATCATTACGTATATCATTACGTATATTACGAGTAAATTTCACAATTAAATGGCAAATAAATTGAACTAAATGTGAGTTTTATTTAGGTAGAATGACTATTTTGAAGTATTTTCTTGTCAAACGTACTCCAATAATGTGTTTTCTTCACAACTTCAAAAAAATCATTTTTACAGTGTAATGGTTGAAGGCTAGACTTGCTCCTAATATAAGACTAGTGCAAATACCATGGCACATATAGAAGAAGAAGAAGAAGAAGAAGAAGAAGAAGAGGAAGAAGAAGAAGAAGAAGTATTGTCCTGGTCCCACACATCCAAAATGCATAGTGGCATACAGTATCACAAAAATGTAAAGAGAAATGAAAAAAAAAAAAGTCCTCACAGAACATAAGTTTAGTGCCTAAGCAAGAACAGTGTATTATTTATATCTGACGTGTGAGCTCTCAAATTTAGAGGCAATCCTCCCTGAGGGGTCAAGAGTCCCTTTGAACCCAACACTGACCATCTTAACCTCCTCATGTGCCAACATTCACATGCCAAGATCAGAATGTCTTAGTAACTTTATACTCAGCTACTGCAATCTCTCATATGTTCTGCATGATCGCACAGAGCAGGTATTCTCACACTCACCGCCCCTTTCCTGGATAACTGACTGTCTGGCAGCGGACACTTCAGACTACATCCAATAATGTGCTTGGTTGAAGAGCCTCGGTACAAACCGTCCTGTGAAAGGAGTATTCTTAATACTGACGAAAAACACACCTGAAGCCGGTGTACCGAGGAAAACACTCACACTTCGATCAGCCCCACAGGTGTATACATGCCACACACGCAGGTAGGGGTGTGTAGGGCTCGTCATGTGGGGGCTTCCTGGAACCATGTGCTCTGCAAATAAGAGAAGGCGGTCGTGTTCCTGTCATATCCTGCAGAGGTTGTTGACTCAACATAAGGATTGTGACACAAGGTCACTTCATCAAACGCGATTTTTGAGCATAACAAATACCAGGAACACTTATGTATTTTAAACACTAGATGGCAGAAAAGCCTTGAGTATAGTAACAGTTATCTAAGCATCCATACTATGTAGGCTACAGATAAGATGCGGTCATGAATTCTTACAAACATTTTATGCAGGTACAGTATGGTATATTGATATTAAGAATATATATATATATAAGAATAAAAACCCCCTTGCACACATAGTTTAGTTTCTTTCAAGTAAAAAAAAAAAGATTGCATTTTTTTAATCTATTAGAATTAGGCTTCTGAAGCATGTATTGATAGCCAATTACATAATAATAAATTATTTAGAATAAATTAAGTCATATATTGCAAATAAGTGTATTCTTTGTATTTACAATAATATAATAATAATAATTATTATTATTATATGAATAAATAAATACAATTATTATATATTTAATAATTATTATATAATGTTTGCCTACAAAACCACCACCGGCTCTGCACCCCTTTACCTAAATGCATTACTTCAGCTCAGACTTATGTGCCCTCTTGAAGCTTGCGTTCTGCAAGTAGGCTAAATGTCGCTTTATTGTACCATCCCAAAGAAGCACAAAATCACTTTCACGGACTTTTAAATTAAATATTCCCTCCTGGTGGAATGACCTGCCCAACTCAATCCGAGCTAAAACACATCTCTTCCATCTTTATTTGACCTTCTAACTCTAGCACTCTCTATTCTAATACTATTTCTTAAAAAAAAAAAAAAAAAAATACCACTAATGATAAATACAATAATTCGTAATAACCGCTGTGGTCAACGAAAACACCTTGGTTGTTTCTGTTTCTTTTTGTTTGCTCTCTTTCGTTTGATCAGTACCATTTTGTTACAACATAATTAAACAAACCCAAATATGCGCGTCTGTGTATGTACAAGCAATATAATGAAGCTAGAAGCCATGCGGTCCAAATCGCGAGTGTTTTCATGACATCCAAACTCCGTGAAAGTTTGTTTACTAGTTTTTAAAGGACGAAAACACTGCTTGTTTCGCTTTCAAAAGCGCGCCTGTGATTGGCTGTCGGCACTTGTCAATCTCGTACGTGGGCGGCGTCAGGTGACATATGATAGTGAGTTCCAGTAAGCGCACTTCAGAGTTTTGGTACACAGACATTCAACAAGCGACAGCAACAGGACCATCACATAATACTGGACTGGACTGGATTACTAAACTTTATAACAACACCAAGCTGATGCCGTTCTAGCCACGTTGTGACTTTTCAGTCGTTTCCAATGTAACCAAGTCAGTTTAAAGTAACTGTTTGTTCTTTCGCGTTTCACGTCATATTTTCTTTTGTCTGTCATATGTGACATTTTAAGACACAAACAGTATCGCTGGTACCATGGCTGACGCAGCCCAAAACCAGATGGTCGAGATCGACCCGGACTTCGAGCCGCTCTCCAGACCCCGCTCCTGTACTTGGCCGCTGCCGCGTCCGGAGTTCCCCAACCCCGCCGCCGCCGACTCCAACACATCGTCCCCGGCTCCGTCCGTCAAGCAGGAGCCCTCCAGCAACACGGACTTTATCAACAACCTCAGTTTGCTGGAAGAGAATGAGGACTACCCTGATCAGAAGCCCCTCATGCTGTGCGGCGATTTCCAATGCCAGGAGAACTGCATCCACCAGCAGCAAATCCCGAGCCGCCAGCAACAGGTGCCTGTGCTCTCCTCTCCGGTGGCCGCCGCCGCTGCAGCCGCGGCAGCCGCTCAGCGCAAGAGCAGCTCGTCCAGACGCAACGCCTGGGGAAATATGTCATACGCGGACCTGATTACCAAAGCCATCGAGAGCTCCCCCGAAAAACGGCTCACCTTGTCTCAGGTCTACGACTGGATGGTGAAAAACGTCCCTTATTTTAAGGACAAGGGGGATAGTAACAGCTCCGCTGGCTGGAAGGTATTTATGTTTTCAGTTTTGGTCTGTACACTCGTGCGTCAGTCGGTTGCACCTTGTGTTTTGGGGTTTTACGCCAAACAGTTCAACTTCTATAAACGCGTCTTGGCTCCCATGGTTCCCATTCAGTCTTGTGTGAACGCCCCTGCGTCATGCGAACTTTTGGGTTTTGCTTAGTTGGCATTGATTCTTGCTGTCCCGTGTGACCTAATTACTTAGTTTAGTTGCTGATTATTATGCATCCTTCACTTAATGTTTTAGGATTGTCAACAGTCTGCATTCATTCTCGTGTAGGACAGATGATTGCCTCTAGTTAGGCTACATGCAGGACATGGCGAGGTGGTGCACTGCAGTCAATAGTTCAAGTGCTGACCCATGTCACATGACAGGTCCCGAGTAACAAGTGTTTTATAGATGCCTGCTGACAGCAAAGACTTCTAGGATCTTTCCACATTTCCAGGTAGAACTCGTTGGAGTTGAAGTTAGGACAAGACAAAAACTTGGACCCAGTTCAAATACCAGACCCCTAAGTGCCAGACCACTACACAACCCCCTTAAAGTTCTGGTCACATTAGTGAAATTTTGTGGGATAAAAGACGATTTGTCTATTGTCAATGAAGTCTGACGCACAGCTCAGACAGATATCACTTTACCAAGCACACAGTGGATTCATATGACTAGCATTTGACACTGTATTTCACCTGCAAAATTTGCATAACAATGGTAAATGTGACCACCAGTGTTGCCAATTTAGCTACTTTGTAGCTAGATTTAGCGACAAGTTTAGTCTCCCTTTTGAGACTTTTTTCAAAAGTTTAGGGACAAATATAGCAACTTCTTGGACATTCTCATCTTGCCCACTGATCTACATTCATCTTTATATAGATCAGTGAATTTGCCATTGTGATGTCATCTAGTGACATTTAGCTACCAATTTTAGCTACTTTCAATTGAAAGCAGTTGGCAACACTGGTGACCACAGCTTGAGGTTGGGACTAATAAAAGAAACCCGGCCTAAAACAATACAAGGCTAAAGGCAATACAGACTAGAGGCCCGTTCACACCAAGAACGATAACTATAAATATAACTATAAAGACGATATTAGCGCTTAGAATCTGTTTATTCTAAGTGCATGCTCGTCTGTCGCTTTAAATTCTCGAGCTCGTGACAGTAGGATTGAATCTGATTGGCTGTCAATATTTTTATCGATAAAAATCGTTCTGAAAGTGATTCCAGCGATATCGTTTCTCTGTGCCGTTATCGTTATTGTTGTGGTGTGGACTCTGCTATTTTTTAATATTGAGAACGATTTTTAGAACTATATCTTTATCATTATCTTTATAGTTATCGTTCTTGGTGTGAACAGGCCTTTAGACTAGCACTGAGAAAATGCTGCATTTATCCAACACACTCATGAAAATTCATACCTTTTTATCTATTTTTGGCAAATTGGTGGCTATTATTAATTTATATTAATCACAGTTGTACTTTTTCATACAATCTGCCCACTGGTGGTTAGATTTAGGGGTGGACCTTCTTATTTTTATTTTTTTTAACTGTACATTTTCGTACAAATCACATTGTACACATTCATATAAAATCATCACCTCGTAACTAAAATAGTTGTTTTCTCATCAGATTGGGATGAATTTATTGCAACATTCCTTAATCAAGATAATCAGGTTTTCACCTTATTTTCATTTTTCCAAAAAGAGAAATTCCATTATAGGAAATAAATGTTATATTAATTGATTTAATTAACTGAATAAGCATTGTAAAAAAAAAAAAAAAAAAAGTTTAAATGGGTTAAATAAAGTTTTGAGGTCATGAAAAGACTAGAGGTTGAGGATTTTCGTACATTTGAAGAAGAGTTCAATGTAAGTGTGTCACAGATCCATACACTAGCACAAGATACGTGATCAGGTGGATCCTAATAAATCAGTTCTGGTGACACGCTTATGTTGTTGTACCACCGGTATGCCTGAACCACCCTGGCAACCGGAGAAACAGGAAAACAGTGCTTTTTATATCCATGGAAACCTCTTCGTTAAGTGGATCCAAAGTTGTGTTGTTAGGTGTAGTGCATCATCACACCGCACGCTATTAATATCCGCAGGATTAACTGTCAATACCCCCCTGATGTTTGCCAAGTATGCAAGCATGGCGGTCTACGCATGCAAGGAAAGATCCGCTCCACCCTCTGATTTATTGTGTGTCTGTGTGCCAGCATTCCACAATTGTCTTGCTTTTGTGCGTCCGTTGGGGAGGCGTATATGAGTTGATGACTGAATGCATTTGGAAACAGGCGCGTTTAACCTCTCTTACCTCTGATGACACATAATTCTTAGTAGCACGGGCAGCTCTCAGCACCTTTCCCACTCTTATCGGAAGCACATCTGATAAACCCAATGTCAAATCATGTGTGTGTTTGTTTTGTGGTAGTAAAACAGATATGATTTGTGCTGTGATCTGTGCTGATGCTGATCTGTGACTCATAATCGGGCAATGTTTTTGAGAACCACAGCAAATTTCCCGCAGGAACTGTTCAATTTTATTCTGATCTCATAAACAATGTGGCGCTGGTAATGATCAGTTAAAGGGTCCCTCGGGGGCACAGCTTCTGTCACTCCAAACCAATATGCTGAAACGAAGGAGAGGCTAAGTTTGAAAATCATCGGTTTTGAATTGTTTTAACAACCAGACAAATACATCATTTCATCTGAGGTTGTTTTGTTGGCGAATGGCTTTTATATATTTAAGATATTATTATTATTACTATTATTGTTATTATTATCAGTCGTAATAGTAGTATCTTAAAAACAGTTTTATATTTAATTATTAAATTATTGCATTATAAAATATATTTTATTAAATGATAATTTTTTTTTACATATAATAAAAATACATTGAGAATAAGACTTAATTTTTTTAATTAAATAAGAGACTGCATGGTTTATTTGTACTTTTAAAATGTATTTGTCGTATTGCATGACTAGTGAAATCAAAAACATTGATTAAAATGTGTGGAAAACTTTCTCTTTTACATCCATATGGATTTTAATCCAAAATCTTGGTGAAGAATGTAACTCGTAAGCTGTAACATGTTGGCAGGCATCTTTCTCCAGGCAGTCAGTTCTCTTTGGGAAGACACAGGGACGCAGGCACTTTACTTTTTGCCAGCTTTGTTTTC